AATGTTTTGTGTCGTATACCTCCTACACAGTGTAAAGGTTTATTGTTGTTATATTATTACTGCTAATTATCGCTAAGTTGACTGCTTAGAAACAACAATGCAGATTTCTTAATGAAACCGATAGCCTTGAATCTATAGAGTTTTTATGCTAAAAAAGAGAATGTATAGACAATCTTGTCACAATCAGAAGCTACCCAAAGCGCTGATCTCCAGTGGACATATTCCCAAAAAGTCATGGTTTTACAATTTAAACTTTTTATCCAGTTTGAACCTTCTTTCACCATTGTCTTTTTTTTCATGTTTAAGGCATGCAGGTTGAAATAGGTATTGTTTAAGTGTGCCGGGCCTCGAGGTGATGTCTGCCACCACATGACGGGCCGCATCGCACAAACACACAGACTGTACGCATATATAAACTAACATGTTAAACAACAATCGTTTACTTCTATCACCTTTTTAAACTTGTACGTATTTGTGCTTGCACTTTAGATTATTTTCTTAAGATTTTTTTAGTAAAGCATGTTAAGTTTGTAGGTTACAGTATTGTAGCTCTATTTTGTTAATATAAAACGTTTTTGCATTCAAATAACTGCTGCGATAATGAAAGCGCAGAAGAAATTAGAGATCACACATTACAGAAAGCTGTCCCTCGTCCTACGTTACTCTATGTAAGAGCTTGGTTCGTGTAAACATCTTAACATGTTTGAATTTTGGAATTTGTATAAGCTTGAAGCAACTTTGTAAACGCGTAGGACTTGGCAGCAACTTTCTGATTGGAATGACTAAAAACTGCACCGTGGAATGATTAAATATGAAATGTACTCCCAAGTGATGTGATTTTACAGCAGGTGGTTAATTATACAATTCACTATGTATGTATAAGTGAACCCATACTGTTTGTTTACATAGGTGGAGAACAAAGCATTGACCCAGAATGAAATGTACTGAGCCACTGTAACCCAGTTATGTATGTTAGTTTTTTGTAACACAATGTCAATGTGAAGTTCTAAAGAATCATATATTTTATCAACAAGTCAAATATGTGCATTTATATATATTCAATACTTCACTACAATTTGGCATCGGGGCTGTACGAATATAGCGGGTCCATTTGTTTTTCACACTTTCCCTTTATGTCAAATACCTCTGTAGAGGTGAGTCTAATTTTTGTACTTGCTATCAATCTGATCAAATGTAAACCTGCGAGAGATAAACTTGTATTTATGCTACTGCTGCCTGCTTCCCACAGTTTGTCCAGCAGAGAGCCTAAGACGAAAGACTTGTGTACTCTTGACAGAGCGATAGTGTTTTTCTGATGGCTTATGTCCGTGGACCAAGAAACTGAACTCTCTGTTTTCTCTGTAGCTTTACTTCCTGTCTTTTTTTCTATACTCAACAGGTTTTATTTTATTAAGGCATTTTGATGATGAAGAGTCATTACTGCAAGCTACTTTGAATTTGTCTGTTCAGGACTGCTATGATATAACTTGTTAATGTGACTCTTGGATTGAATAAAAAAATGAAATGTTAACACATGATTGTTTCTGTCACATTGAAGATTTTTCTATATTATGGCCAAATGATGTCAAAGTTGAAATGCAGCTGATTCTTTCTTTTATTTTCCACACTATCTTGCTTATTGTACAAATGTCTCCCTCTTGAGGTAACATGGCGGCAGTGCGGTGTTGAGTCTGGAGTGCAGTTGCATCAGGTGTGTTAAAGTCTCATATAACTTGTGTGAATAACTGTTGCACATAATTCCTATTTCAAGAGATGTAATGCAAGTGGTATTGGCATTTCCCTGGCCCCTTGAATCCATATCATCAATATTGTTGAACCTGATCGTCAGTACAGCTTTAAATGAATGTCTGATATAATGCAGATCTTAATAAGCAAGAGTTTGACATCATCAAAGCCCTTTTTCATTAGATCTGTGTTTGCAGAAATTGATTTACATGTTGATGATGTATCTCCGTGGCAGCAAAGGATGTGCAATGTGTGTCATTGGGTTTTTCTATCACGGCTATCGAAGGATTTAAACTACCAATGAAGCATTTTATAGCTAGATGACATTATTTAGTTTGCTCTCCTGGTTGTCTTGAATTTTTGTTACATCCCTGTCTCTTTTTTACTGCAGTTTTGACTGATTGAATGCCCCGCTATTTTGAACTTTCTAGTAGTACAGAGGCCTGGTTGGCCTGGTTGGCGGTTGGTCCACTACTCCAACTACTGAAAGGATTTCCATGACAGGTTGTATAGACATTCATGGTCTCTAGAGACTGCCCTGAGTTTTTCTGTAGTATAGCATGTCAAATGTTGATTGATCATCACCTCGATTGTCACCTGACATTTCCTTAAGCGCTGAGCAATTACTTACTTCTTACTTTTTTAACATTTGTCATTTTCAGTTAAATATTTTGACGATTCTATTTGACATGTTGTTGTATATGTTAGTACATAGCCCACAGCTAAGTATGCCCCAATCAGGATTTATTGGAAAAACTTTTATAATCTTACACATTGTTACCAGAAACTAAGTATCGCTTACATTGCTTTGTATGTAAAAGGGGCTTGGCTGCTGTAACTTGTAACTTTACAGTGATTGTGGTGTTTTTCTTATTAACTACTGACATGTTTTCTTCTTTATTAACTACTTCCTCTTTTGCAGCTCTTGTTATGCATCATCATTCAAGGCTGCCGGTCCACTGCTTTGCTCAGCAGGTAACATTTGTCGCCTTTTTCTTTTTGGGGCCGGGGGGTAACATCTTGGACTCTTAATTGTCCAAAATCATCCATCACACAATAGACAAAGAATTTGCCCTCATTCCTCGTTTTGTCTTTTTTTTTCCTGTAGAAAGTTCCTGCAGGAAGCAGACAATGCTCAGATAAACTCTAAGGATGGGTGACAGATTTTGGTTCTACATGCTTTGCAAAGTATTTCCTGCCTAAGATCCAGATATGACATTTAGCCACCTGCAGTCAACATGTTGTGTCCTTGCTCCCGATGGCCAATAGTGTGTGAATGTTTGTAAATGTTAGATTCCTTGACCAAAAGTAGGACTTGCTCTATATGAATGGGGTGTAAATGGGTGAATGATGACTTGAATGTAAAGCTCTTTGAGCGGTCGTAAAGAGTGGATAAAGCGCTATATAAATGCTGTCCATTTACCAATTAACTTGTTAGAATGGAACAGAGATTTCAAAGGCATTGTGACTATACTGTTGCAGGCAATTAGGCCGCTACTTGCTTTTTTATGAAGAAAGGTGTATCTGAAAGGATCAAAATGCACTTTCATTTTTACCACCACCCTCTTCCATCTCCTCTGCCTCACCTCCTGAACCCCCTCTACTCTCCCCCATTCTCTCTGGGTCTCAGCTGTTGCCTTTATGAAAACAAGACACTCGATTATGTTGACCTCATCGTTTGTCCGAGCTCCATCGGAAACATCATCTATCGAGCGTGGCCTACATCGACCCACCAATTTCTGATATGAGGCCCAAGGCTTGATGGATGATTGCACTTTAAGGGTGTGTTGGTGTGACTGTGGTGTTGGTGGGAGGGATTAGTGGCCGATTGATCACTGCAAGTGGCTTGCAAACAACAAGCTATCATTGTGGACACACGGCCATAAATCTGTCCGTGGGGAGCGGGCTGATTGGGTTATTTAAAACGCTGTCCCTGTTTTGGTTGGGTTTGAAATGGGAGAGGTCTGAGTGTCAGGGATAATTATGTTTAGACCTGTCGGACATTACAGGTAATGAGATTTTCTGCCTACCAAGGCGGTAGGGTGGGTAAATGGGGTCTATCGGCGGATGCTAAAAGTGGGCAACTGGTTTCATCTAGTGGTACGGAGGGACTTTAATGTTTTACACAGTGGGTTTAACGCAGGAATCAAAAGCCCTGGAGATTTATTTTCTTAATATCTTGTCTGTGCTCTGCTTAAAGGTTTGATGTGGGCGGGGCTAAGTATTACAAAGTTGTTGTCACTTAATTCCAAGAACCAATCAGGATTTAGCAGTAAATTAATCCGAAACTGAAAACACTTGTTGGGCTGTGTTGCCAGGACACTCCCAACCAAATCTAAGCAATTATTTACAATGAAAAAAAAATGAACTTTGCTTTGGAAGCTGCTGAGATCTGGTTTAAAAACGTTTTTATATTTGCTCACAATATTTACGGATGAAATCCTCGCCATCACAAAGAACACCCTAGGATAATTGAAGAATTGATGCAGAATTAAGATCTCCATTTGAATCAATAAAAATAATTAAAGATTATAATCAATATTTGTTGTACATTTGAATCCCATTCATTCACATGTCATTGTCGACTCTAGGACCTGGTGCTGATTTTTCTTAAAATGTAGTTTTTGCGTTAGGGATAACGTTTTTATTTATGATGATGATGATGATAGACAATGTGTATACTGTACACATACACACACATAGAAATGCTCGTTATAATTATTTCAACCTTAATTGAGGCATTTTATTTACAGGAATATTTATATACAAAAAAACATCTGGTAAATGTTTGAATTATATCATGCTGTGAACATGTTTTTGTTATTATGAATCCACAATGAAGAAAAAGATAAAAACTTGCAACCTAACTTTAAGCTTCTTTGTCAGTAGTGAAATCCTCTGGCTAATAAAGATCCATGATGTGATAACATTAACCACAATTTACCCTAATAGCATCTCGGTCTGTTTCGACAGTGAAAGATAGACCATTAAACAAATATCACACATCCAAAGAATTTCTTTATCTTGTGAAATAATGTATTTTAATTCTTTTTTTTATTTTTCCCTCTATAGATTCTTACAAAGAAAAGTAATCCAGCAAAATACCTAAATCAGGTAAAAAGAAATGCAATGATTGGAGAGAGGAGAGGAGGAACAGACGAAGGAGGGAGGGAGGAGAGTGACGGTCATGGGGGGGGGGGGGGGGGGGGGTTTGATTGATTCTCATACAAGAGTGGTATCGCAGACAGATCTCCATACCAGACCACAGGGTACTCTGGATTCTGTGTGTCTGTCACTGGATCCACAGAGGGTGGGAGGGCTTTATCCTCATCTCTTGTCTTACTGTGACTCTCTTACTCTCTTTATTTCTTCAAAACATTTTGCCTTAATCTTGGTCCAAGTCTAACTCATCAAGGGCGGTCCACTTAAATGTGGTCAGCATCTGTTTGCAGCGCACAGAGGAACATCAGCACATCTGGAATTAAACTGTCCAAACTGACGTACGGAGGAGTGTTTACCTGTCAAATTTCAAAGGTAGGTGTTTTTTTGCAATCTTGAAAATCGTTTTTTTTAACCATAATATTATTGTTATCTTTAAATATCTTATATTTTTCTATAACTTTTAATGTTATCAGTTTTCAGAGTCTGCTTTTTTTTTGTGACAAAAATGTAGACAATTAATTATTCAATTGACCACATTTTGAGCACAAGTATACTTTCTTTCAAATGAAAAAGCAAAAAAAGGCACTTTTTGTATTGTAGACATTTGAAGTATTTTTTTTTTTACATCACTTTCTAATATTTAAAATATAAACGGGGGCTTCAACTGGTCCTTTTTCTCCTAAAGATCATTTTAGTGAAAAGTACTGAAAGGAAATCTGGACAGGATCTGGTGGACAGCATGTCGTGGTTAGATGGGGTTAGTGGACACTGGGCCAATTGTGCGAAACTGTGATCAAAATGGCGATCAACAAGTGTGAAATAAAATGAGCCTGCTGTAATGGCCTGCTGGAGACGCTCCCCTTCCCCTCCTGCTCCCCTTAGGGGGATTCCACTCTCGGTGCTTTCTCCACTCTCCTCTTGATCTTTCTGAATTTTATGTAACGACTTGAAATCATAAAATGAATGACTATTTAACATTTTTACATTTTGGAAGAACAATCACATTTTTACAATTTTTGTATGCTGAATGTCTCACTTATTGTATATCTATATATGATATATTAATTTATATAGGGAATATTAAAGTTCTACCTTTTTCTGTTTCTTCAGCCACAGCTACCTTCCTTCCTCCTCAGTGACCACCAGCACTGTCGGCCTGATGTCTTCGGTTGTGGCCCCAGAAAAGCCCGCCTCAAACACCATGGGCCCCAAAGAGGTTTGTACGGACCTCACGCATATATTAGTGGATTAATGGCATGCAATTCAGTCTGATTAAGAAAACCTAATTGAAACACAGTATGGGGCAAGCTTCTTAATTAAGTGCATTCCTCTCTTATTTAGTCTGCCTGACTGCAGTCCTAAAAACAGTGTTGGGATAAAAACTCATAATGTAAGGAGATACATTTTCTTGAGCCAAAATGGAATTAATGAACTGTTGAGAAGACAAAATATGCTGGTGCATAAAGAACTGACGATGTGAAAGTGATTACTGTCCGTCATGTGGGCGAAGTGAGAGCATAATACAGTGAGGGTGAGACTTTAAATTAGTATGTCTTCATCTGATGATTATTAACTCCATGACTCTTCAGGTGGAGCTGATTCTGGTGAAGGAGCAAAATGGGGTTCAGTTCACCTCTTCCACCTTAGTAGGTCCGACTCCTCCTCAGACCAACCCCAGTGGGGAGGAGAGGGAGACCTGGGGGAAGAAGATCGACTTCCTCCTGTCTGTGATCGGATTTGCCGTGGACCTCGCCAACGTCTGGAGATTCCCCTACCTCTGCTATAAGAATGGAGGAGGTGAGATGGATGAAAAGGCTGGGGGGAGGGGGCTCATGTTGGCCTAGAGAGGGTGGATAAAGGAAGTAAGGAAAGGAGTTAAGAATGTTTAATGTGAGAGTGAATGTCTTCATCGCCTGTGAGAGTAGTGAAGGAGGAAATTGAAGCGTTGATGGTGTTTGTTTTATTAGAAAAGACAGGGAGTACAGAAAAAAGAATAGAAGAAGGTGAAATGAAGGTGGAATTGAATCAAGCATGCTGTATATTTGATCCTACTTGCAAATCCATGTGCAAGCAAAGATTATTTGCTTGTGTGTTCTGTTTGAGATCTGTTTTTCCACCCTTTTTCCGAGATCAAAATAGGGGGAAAACCACCACAGCTGCTCAGAATAGATTAGCTCTAACAATCACTAGCACTAATTATAGCTGTTTAACATAGAGCTCTAATTATGAGCTTTAAATGATGCTGTGGCCATAGGCAAGACTCACCATATGTCCCTCAAATCCAGCATGTTGTCATACCTGTAATCTGGCAACATTTAACAGTTTAATCTGAGGAAATTAACCCTTTTTTATTATCATTTGGAGCTGTTTATTGAAATCTGACGATAAGAAGATTGAAGGGGGAATGACAAAGCATCCCGGTTAGAATAAAACCAGGGACATTCTGGCGTTATAACTCCATTAACAAGGTGCGCCAAACATAAACTTTATATTTGTTTTAATATAGTTGATAATCACCATAATCCATACTCTGTGACAGTAACGGTATTATGTAATCCAGTGTTTCTCAAACTTTTTCTCAGTAATGTACCCCCTTTGAAACATTTTCTCAGCCAAGTACCCCCTGACTGACCCAGAACATTTTTGATAGAAAAAGCCTATATAAATAATTACAATATAGTAATGTTCCATCAGTGTGTGATTTATTAACTCCTTCATGCATGAATTACAACAAACTAAAGATATTTTCATCTTCATGCATGAAAAAAAAGAACACAACGAAAAAAAATTGAAACAGATTTTTCAAGGAGTTTTTCAATTGAAGTAATATCATGTTTAACAAACCAGTGAACAAAATGATATATTATGAAAAACTATAAAATACAATACACAAATTTGACATGTTTATATGAGGACCCTCTTGGTGGTTCTAGGAATATTTTCCTTGAACCATTTTGTTTTGTTTATCTCACGTACCCCCTGCAGTACCCCCAACGTACACCTAGGGGTCAGCGTACCCCCATTTGATGTAATCTAATCATTGTTGGTATTTTATATATTAATGATAGCTCTATCAAATGACAAAGGTTTAACATGAACATTGGAAATTGTTTATTTTATCCTGTAATATAGCATTTTGAAATGTCCTTTTATATGTAGACATTACGTTGTTGACCTGTCTCTGTGTGTGCAGGTGCGTTCCTGGTGCCATACATGTTCTTCATGTTGATAGCTGGCATGCCTCTTTTCTACATGGAGCTGGCTCTGGGACAGTATAACAGAGAGGGGGCAGCAGGCGTCTGGAAGATCTGTCCAATATTTAAAGGTAAGAATGCCACATACTTAGATGATGCAAATGATGTTCCAGGCGTTCACGTGTATTTCGAATCCGCCTGTCGTGGTTTGCGCATGCCTGTCTGTTTGATAATAGACCTTTAAGATCTACATGTGTTTTCTGTCTGCTTGTCTGCCCACATGCCTGTCCGTCCACATGCCAGTCTCTTTTGTCTGCTTGTCTCTCCTTGAGTGGGGCGACAGGCATTGTTTATCCTCCCCAGAACATCAGGTTGTGCTGGCACTCAGATGGAAAGCAAATGAAAATTGGGCTCTTACCCTGATTGTCCAAATCCTTCTGTCAAATAAGACTCTCAGGAGTACTTTTCAACACATCAATAAGCAAAAGAGCCGTTCAGGAGCAATGCCATCCAAACATGCACTAATGGAGAAGAAATGTCACGTTTCTAAGCAAAGTCATTGGTAAAAAGAAAATGCTTTCTTGGTTCAACTTTATATTCTCTCTCTCTGTACTGTTTGCAGAGTTTGACCTTAATCAACATTTTACACCTTACAATCACCCCAAAGATGCAACAGCATTACGACGTCAAATACCATTAAAACCAGCTGTCCATCTGTTGCTGCACAGGACAATGCTGATGCTGTCAAACAGTGTCTACTGTGATGGGATGTCTTTTCTGGAGCTGGAGAGCGATCTGATGTCTGACAAACTGAAGCTTTATTCAAAGTATTCAGCAGCAGAAATGACATTGCAAATAGTACACAGAGAAGTGTACACGCTGTATACCAACAACAGTTCTGCCAAAACTCCACCTGCATCTGCATATTAACTGGATTCTTGAGCTTTTCAAAAAAATATGTGCCTGTAGTAAAACAATCTTCACTAAACAGAAGTGCCGCCTGAAGATAAAGGGGCGCCACGGCTGTTACTATGTGTCTGGTGTGACCTAGCAGTGACCAAAGACCTACTGTACTTAAATGATTCCTAACTTGAGAGAAAAGGATATCATTTTATATTAAAAATATATACAAAGTCTACCGTTTTTAAATATATATTGACTAGGAATTAGCTAAAAAAAAGTACTTGACATGTACTGTGTGTGCCCCTGTAGTGTGTTTCTGAGTGTGTGAGCATGTGCCTTCTGCCGCAGACCACACTGTGTAGGTTGACGTTCTAATCACATGCTTCACTCTTTCACTGTCTCTCAGCAGGGGATAACAGTAATTATAAAGATACACACACACACACACACACACACACACACACACACACACACACACACACACACACATGCCCATATTGACAGTCATTACTCTGATCGAGAAGCTGGTTTCCTCTCAGGATCAATGCATTTGAAGAAAATGAGCATGAAAGGCAGACAGAGAGATGGCACAGCCGCATGTGGCGCTAATAAGAGGCATCGCTGCCTTGACAAATACCACATCCACATTACAAAAGGAATCAATAAGGCACACTTCAGGTCATGGCTGTTAGCAAAGGTTAGCATTTAAATACTTCTTTAGAAGAGTGGACATTGTTTCAGATGTATTGAAGGGTAGATGTGTTGATAATTGAGGCTTGAAGAGGAAACCTTTAGTTGAGGGTCTTTCTTCACGACCGCAGGCATGTTTTGTGGGCTCATGCTGAACGTGAGATTGTGCTTTCTGGTATGCAATTTAGTGCTGAAGTCTTTCTCGGATAAAGTCACTGTTCAGGACTGCAATGCCTGAAATTATGCTTAAAGGTCACCCATTAGGCTAAATCCACACCTCATGTGTTTTATAAATAAATATGTTGCCCCATTGTGTGAATAGATTCTGAACGTTTCAGGAATAAAGAATCTCTCTCTTTTTTTCCTGATCCAAATATTTAAAAGAAAATGAGCTTGTGAAGTCACAACTGTCTTTTGGGTTGGACAACAATTAGCCACTAACCAACCAAGGTAACGCCCGCCCACCTTATCACCTGAATCTCCTCCTAGAGCACCATTGTGTTTTTTTAACCAAACACTTCCATAGGGGGCGTGGCCAGCAGCAGCTCAGGTGTGTTTAAATCTACAGATATAGAATCAGCACTTTTGGAACAGGTCCCCTTCAGCAAGACAAACTCCAGCTAGCATTCCCTAGAAAACAATTCAACAACCATCAGTACTGCAATTCCTAAACAAATCCAATGCATCAGAAGAATAACCCCTATCTACCAATTTATGTCAACCACAAAGGGTCTCAAGTACCCTTTTCCCATCAAACCGGTTCCAGGGCCAGTTCGGACATGGTGCCCGATTGCGAAAAGGTTCCGCAGCAGGGCCGGCTCTCAGCCCCTAAAACCGGTTTGCATCTGGCACCAAAAAACTGCTGGTCAAGAACCAATAAGCCAATACGTCAGGCTTACATTGGAGGCTGGGGCGAGATTAATCTGAGCAATAATAGTTGATGGCGAGTGCGGCGAAGAGAATAAAGTTGTAACAAGCAGTAGCGCTCAGAATGCAAAGTTGCTAGAATGCCACCACACACATACATTTATATAAAGCTAGACAACAATAACCAGGCATGCGTTTACACGTATGCCTGGTTACTGGTTACTGGTTACTGGTATACTGTTAAAAGCAGCTGGAGAGAAATGCAGAGTGACATGCTAAAAAGATCACTGGTCGGAAGTAAACTGGCGGTTGCTTTTTTTGTGAGGGGTTATAAGCCAAAAAACACTCTTTAAGGACTGACGCAGTGATGTGCATGTGGGATGTAAGAGATTACAGAGAGGTGCCCCTTTTAAAATCTCATGTTTTTATGTGGGCAGTTAGCATAACAAATCCTCACCTATTTGTAGCTCTTTTTTTAATACATATGCATTACATTACATTGCATTTAGCTGACGCTTTTATCCAAAGCGACTTACAATAAGTACATTCGACCAGGAAGATACAACCTTGAAGAAAACAGAATCATTGTACATCAGGTTTCATAGAGCCCAACATTTCAAGTGCTACTCAACTGGCTTTAGATAAGCCAGCCCTTTATTAGTATATAAGTGCTCTGTTAGCAGTTCTTTGTTAGTAATTCTATTGCTCGAAGTGGAGTCGAAAGAGATGAGTTTTCAACCATATGCCTTTTTAATTTCTTTCTCCAACAGGTGTAGGCTTCACGGTGATCCTCATTTCCCTGTACGTTGGTTTCTACTATAATGTCATCATCTCCTGGGCGCTCTTCTATCTCTTCTCCTCGTTCACCAGCGAGCTGCCGTGGGTCCACTGCAACAACAGTTGGAACAGTCCAAACTGCTCTGACTGGGCTGACAACAGCTCAGTCAGCGACATTTACAAGTCCACCCCTGCTCAGGAATACTTTGAGTAAGTTGGATTTACTTAATGTTTGTTTCCTATAGTAGTTTATAATTTAAGGAAATTAAATAACATTAATAATTGCTATAATAGTTGTTGGCAAATCTTCTTATTAGTATAAAAACATCATTTTCTATGGGTATGATTTCCTGAAAACGGATGCAGAGTTTGGCTGCATTTAGCTTATGCAGCCTCCCACACTGTGAAGCTGACCAGGTGTCTCCTTTTCCAAAGAGTTGGGGGTTGTTCTGTTGTGACAGTTGAAATATTTGATCCATGCTAGTTGAAATTGCTGTGCGCTATACACATAGAACCACCTGCAGACAATTTGACCACATTGGTCGAGCATCGGCTGATCTTTTTCGTTTTTTGTCTGCAAGACAGTCTCTGAAATGATTTGAATCAAAGATGTTTCGTCCGTCAGGTGACTCGTGTAACCCAACTTTACAGAATGCAGTTTGAAAGTATACTTTGACATATGTTAGCTTTAAATGCAGGTGGAGTTTTCTTACCTTGGCAGGCTATTATGATCATAACTTAATGAAAATTACAAATGTAGTAGCAACAGATGTGCGAACACCTGGCATCTTTCTGCTTTAGGCTTTAGATCTCTCTTTCAACAATGCCAGGCATTGATTGTTGAGCCAATTAAATGCAGAATATCAGATTTACCAGATTCACATCCAAATGTATAGGTCAATTCATGTTGTGAATAATAATGCTCAACAGAGCCATACCAGCTCAAATCTATCCTGCTGATAACGACCGATAAAGGCCATTTATCCTCCAGGCAAAGGCTTCTACCGTAGCGCTGTAGGTCTTAGAACAAGAATTGGTTAAAGGTTCTGAATTGAAATTATATAATATTTCAATGATTTATCAAACAAAAGCCGGCAGAGTTTTGACTGGAGAGTGGTTCTTACCAACATATTCTCCTTCCTCAGACGAGGGGTGCTCCACATCCAGGACAGTAATGGTATTGATAATCTGGGCCGTCCACGCTGGCAGTTGACTTCCTGTCTAGGTGTAGTGATTGTTCTGCTCTACTTCAGTCTCTGGAAGGGCGTCAAAACTTCTGGAAAGGTGGGTCATGAAACACTTTCCAATTTTCTTTTATGTGAAAAACACAAAACTGCGCTGATTCCTCTCAGTGACTCACTTTACGCTAGAACAAATGAGAAAATATCAAAAAAAGGCTTGTTTTCCATATTGAATGCATTCACATGTTTGAATCTGACTATGTGTTTGTGTGTCCTTATATCTCTGTTCAAATGTGTGTGTATCTGTGTGTGTGTACCTCGCACGACCCTTTCAGGTTGTGTGGATCACAGCCACGATGCCCTATGTGGTCTTGACTGTGCTGCTGATCCGCGGAGTCACTCTGCCTGGAGCCATCGATGGCATTAAGGCCTACCTCTCCGTGGACTTCTTGAAGCTGTGTGATGCCCAGGTGAGTTTTAACAGGAAGGGGGTAGAGCAAGAGGAAGAAAAGGAAGGGTGTAGAGATTTTATTTTATTACTTCAATATTTCACTAAAATGTGTTAAGAAACCTGAAAATGCACATAATTATAAACCAGTATAAAAGATTTTCATTGACATTATCCACCCCAAGTTGTTACGTCATGAATTAACTTAAATGTAACGTATGAAGATAACAATCCATTTCAAGGGCTTTGCAACAAACTGTTACTGCTAAGGAGTGTTGAAGGCAATATTGATGTTTTTCCAATGCTGATTGTGCTGTGTTTCACTTGTACATGCTCTAAAGAAAATATCTTATATAAGGCAAACTGCAACAGTTCACACAAAACCAAAACAATTAAGATAGGAGCAGAGAAATGTGGAGAAGATATGTAATCTTTCAATTTGATCAACGTGCTTCAATGAAAAATGCCTGAGTAGGGAACTATTCCTGCAAACGGAATTTCCAACTGTTGAGTTAAAACACAACATCTGAGAAATAACAAATCAAAGGTTAGTTTGCAGGGATAAGTGGGCTACCAAAAGAGAGGCTTTTCCTTTTAGGCTCAAAAAAAAAGTGAGAACACTATTTGTGTAATGTTCCTTATCTGTGAAAGCCGTTATCACAGCACTAAAGAGCTCAACAAGTAAGCATGCAGGACTGAAGGACTCGGTTATGGAGAATGAGAGAAAAAGCAAGAAAGGAGACAGAGAGATGCATGGCAGCAATTGGAGAATTAGATTAGATAGATTCATGGAGCAGTAATTTGCAAAATTACCCCCTGTATTCACTAGCGTCTTTCATCTATGGCCGTTGAATGAGTTTCCTGCAATTATCCCTAATAATGGCTTTTTTCCTCTCCTGTGCCTTTTGTTTGCCGCTTCACACAAGTGTGCTTGTTCCGTCGCTCCCCAGGTCTGGATCGACGCAGCGACACAGATCTGTTTTTCTCTGGGAGTGGGGTTTGGTGTGCTAATTGCCTTTTCCAGCTACAACAAATTCAGCAACAACTGTTACAGGTAAAGACACACAAGGCGAGGAAAGAGGGGATTCAGAGAAACGGAGAGAGGACAGGGAAATACACACAAACACACACGCAACATAAGCAGGTGAATTACAATAACCTTTGAAGCTCCTTGAAACCCGCTATGTCTTTGACACCATGCTGTGCAACAGGCAGCCGTAACACCAATCAAAACTGTCGCACTCTTTGAAAATCATCAGCATCCCACAGGAGGCTTTTATCTTTTGTATTGTGTTTATTTGTTTTGCCTTCTTTATGTTTCTGATAACTGACATATGACACTATCCACCTTCAGGATTCCACCATGATCATAACTCCAAATCACTGAACGTAAATGAAGACAAAATGCCAAATATGTCTCATTCTGAAAATAAATGAGAATCAGCTTTCTTTACTGCACATGTGTACAATTTGTCTCCTTATTTAACTTTCACACACCAAGTCCTTACAAATAACTCATGTATAATGTACATTTTTGCAAATTAACGGAGGTGTAACTCCTAGAAAAGGGTAGGTATGCAACTTGCCAATCTGTCTCATGCAGTAAAAGGCAAATATTGACTACCTGACCAATCCATTAAATCAATACGGCAAGCTTGAATTATTTTTTTTATCCAAAGAAAACTGGCCTTAGCACACTCCTGACTAAATCATTGACTGACTGTTGGCTTGAGTTCATTGTCATTGCATACTGAATGATGACTGATTGATATATGGCTCATTTTTCTATATTCTTTTTATGGACTGTTTTTCTTTTAATTACATTTTTTACAGAGACGCCATCATCACCAGTTCTATCAACTCTCTAACCAGTTTCTTCTCCGGATTTGTGGTCTTCTCCTTCCTTGGGTACCTGTCCCAAAAGCACAATGTAGCCCTGGACAAAGTTGCCAGAGACGGTATGGTATAATTTGGCTGTGTTTGTTTTGAAGTGAAGTGTATTAAAAAATATCATGTGGAGGCAGTACATTTTTTATTTTGTCTGCGTGTGTTTTGTACTGTTTGCTACTTTTCTTGCTTGAATGTGTCGTTTCCCAGGTGCTGGTTTGGTTTTTGTAATTTACCCAGAAGCCATTGCAACACTACCTGGATCATCAGTGTGGGCGGTCATCTTCTTCATCATGCTGTTATCACTGGGCATCGACAGTGCAGTGAGTGTATACACACACACACACACACACACACACACACACACACACACACACACACACACACACACACACACACACACACACACAAACACACACTCTGTCTCACACAGACTCTCTCTCTCTCCCTCTCTCACATTTGATATCTTTATTTAACTCCTTCAGACA